TGTACTGCTGTTTATGATAATGATGATGATGTCGATGACATCGTGCTCCTGTGTATGATATCAAAGTGTGTTCATGACATCATGCACAATTAATGGAAGTGAAAGAAGGGAGTGTTTACTGGAGGGCTTTTGTCAGTGTTTAGTTTGAAACCTGCTGCTAGAAACACTTCAAGATTGAATAGATCATCATAAAAGCTATTTTTAATTCTTACAATTTTGATTAATAATCGATCATCTAAGTAGTCTGTATGGATTATTTGTGGTGATACCTTTGGATGAGTTACTGCTTTGCTTTTCCTTTAAGTTCTGTGTTTTTGTTACCAAAGTAATGAAACTTTTTTCTAAACATCTAGAGTGAAGGCTGTTCCTTACATTTGACTCACAAGTTTAACCAAGTCTTTCACACTAATGTACCACCGATTTTATCCAAAGAGTCAGCTGTTGGAATAATTGTTGGATCAGGTAAAAAAATTTTCAGGAGCTATTTTCACAAGTTTTTATTTGAAAAGTTTTTAAATTGGGTGTTCAATTATACATTAGATTTTATTGCTTACGTTAATGGTTGTTTAATAATGTAAAATTAAAGTTTGGGAATTCATGATTTTAGAAAAACATGTAGGTTCAAGAAGTCTTGATAAAAAATGAATGAAAAACTCTATAACTCAAGCGCTTTTGAAAAGTGGATCTAATGAAAGCACTTAGGTTATAGGGTTTTTATTCATTTCTATGAGGTTTGGGAATGAAATCGTAGTTGAATTGAGGAGGGAAATTTGCTTCAGAAGAATATTTAGATAGAATGTTGCTTCAAATGTCTGAGTTTCTGAGAAAGAATAACAGATACAATGTTATTACAAGTATATTAAGGTATTGTACAGAATGCTTATTATAATAAATCTTCAAGTAGTGTATTTCATAAAATGTCATAGTGAGTATAATAAAACATCAGGTATCTTTATTTCCTGGAGTGTCTTAGTATTATAAAACATCAGGTTCTGTATTTCTAAGAAGGTTTTTTTATGAATGTAATGAAATATCAGGTAGCTCATAAACTAGAATGTAAGTGTAATGAAATATCAAGTAGCTTATAAACTAGAAATGAGTGTAATAGAATATTAGGTTGTGTATTACCTAGAATATGAGTATAGCAAAATATCATGTTGTGTATTACCTAGAATGTTAGTGTAGTAGAATATCATGTTGTGTATTATCTAGAATATGAGTTTAGTAGAATATCAGGTAGCTCATAAACTAGAATGTAAGTGTAATGAAATATCAAGTAGCTTATAAACTAGAAATGAGTGTAATAGAATATCAGGTTGTGTATTACCTAGAATGTGAGTATAGCAGAATATCATGTTGTGTATTACCTAGAATGTGAGTATAGCAGAATATCATGTTGTGTATTATCTAGAATATGAGTGTAGTAGAATATCAGGTTGTGTATTACCTAGAATATGAGTATAGTAGAATATCAGGTTGTGTATTACCTAGAATGTGAGTGTAGTAGAATATCATGTTGTGTATTACCTAGAATGTGAGTATAGCAGAATATCAGGTTGTGTATTACCTAGAATGTGAGTGTAGTAGAATATCATGTTGTGTATTACCTAGAATGTGAGTATAGTAGAATATCAGGTTGTGTATTACCTAGAATGTGAGTATAGCAGAATATCAGGTTGTGTATTATCTAGAATATGAGTGTAGTAGAATATCAGGTTGTGTATTACATAGAATATGAGTATAGTAGAATATCAGGTTGTGTATTATCTAGAATATGAGTTAATACACAACCTGATATTCTACTACCCTAGAATGTGAGTATAGTAGAATATCAGGTTGTGTATTACCTAGAATATGAGTTTAGTAGAATATCATGTTGTGTATTATCTAGAATATGAGTGTAGTAGAATATCAGGTTGTGTATTATCTAGAATATGAGTGTAGCAGAATATCAGGTTGTGTATTACCTAGAATATGAGTTTAGTAGAATATCATGTTGTGTATTATCTAGAATATGAGTGTAGTAGAATATCAGGTTGTGTATTACCTAGAATATGAGTTTAGTAGAATATCATGTTGTGTATTATCTAGAATATGAGTGTAGCAGAATATCAGGTTGTGTATTACCTAGAATATGAGTTTAGTAGAATATCATGTTGTGTATTATCTAGAATATGAGTGTAGTAGAATATCAGGTTGTGTATTACCTAGACAATAACTGATGTTTGTGTGTTCCTTAGTGGAGTATTCTATTTTGCTTATTTGTTATTTTCATTAGTTAGTATAATGAATGTAATTTTTATTTTCATTTGTTGTTCATTATTATACCTTTATTATAAAGATTGTTTTGCACTGTTAGCTTAGAATTTCTATTTAATACTAACCCAAACCTCCTAAAGTGGCCAAACTTGGAGAGATGTTATTGGAATTACAGCTGAAATTGTCATTAGCAGCGAGAGTATCTAACTGATGAAACAATGCATTCTATTCTTTATAAATAGAAACATAAGACAAGTATACTTAATTAGCTGTACTGATGGACAGTTTGATTTTTAACATTGCTTTAAGTTCTAAGATTACTCTGGTCAAAAGCTGTTATTATTAAGATGTATATTACTTCACTAGTTTCTGTTTAGTATCAGATTGTTCAGCTACGATATTAGTTGCTGAAACTTAACTAAAGAAAATTATGTCACTAGTTTCTGTTTAGTATTAGTTTGTTCAGCTATGATATTAGTTTCTGAGACTTAGCTGAAGTATAGTACTTCACTAGTTTCAGTTCAATTAGATATGATATTATTAGTTGTATGTAATACTTGTTGCCATCACTTTTATGTTTGTTGTTGGACACAACTTTTTATTTAATATTTTGTTCTTATTACATGAAAAGTATGTAAGAATATTGTTCTTTTGAACTATTATTGTTCAATATAACAATATTTTGACTAATAATAATTGTTATACGGTCAAAATGATTATCAACAAACCTAAAGTTATTTTCTGTGGCAAAAAACATTAACACAATAATTTAATTGGTCTGATTACTGTCCTTCAATAGTAATGATTTTCAGCTATTCTAAGTATATTTTCTGTGATCACAGGTGTCGTTGGGAAGTCCTTGAAAGGTCATCCAAGTGTTTTTGTGTCTTCAGATGCCGGAATCAGCTGGCATGAGGTAATTAATGGTTACACTAAGTTTCAGTGTTTATAGTAAAGGAATATGAATAACACAAAATGAATTTTTTACCCTTTCCAGACTGGAGTAATATCACTGGTATTCTCTGTTCCATTGTTTCTAAAGACTACTTTCAAAATTTTCTGCTCACTTGTAGTTTTTTTACATGGTTCATTGGATATTCATGCCTTACGGTAATTAATGTAAAAAGTCTGTAGTGTTGTGTAAATATCAGTTTTGTATGTTACATATAACTATTGGAATGTATGTTACGTAGCACTATTGGAATGTATGTTACGTAGCACTATTGGAATGTATTTTACATAGTACTATTGGAATGTATGTTATGTAGCACCATTGGAATGTATGTTACGTAGCACTATTGGAATGTATGTTACATAGCACTATTGGAATGTATGTTACGTAGCACTATTGGAATGTATGTTACGTAGCACTATTGGAATGTATGTTACGTAGCACTATTGGAATGTATGTTACATAGCACTATTGGAATGTATGTTACATAGCACTATTGGAATGTATGTTACATAGCACTATTGGAATGTATGTTACGTAGCACTATTGGAATGTATGTTACGTAGCACTATTGGAATGTATGTTACGTAGCACTATTGGAATGTATGTTATGTAGCACTATTAGAATGTATGTTATGTAGCACTATTGGAATGTATGTTACATAGCACCATTGGAATGTATGTTATGTAGCACCATT